CTGTCCTGCTCCAGGACTGGCAGCAGCAAACCCCTGCCAGAGCCATCTCCCAGCAAGGCAAATCCTGATATAAACGCTCTCCACAAAGGGACTGCGCTCCTTCCATGGCCCAGCCATTAGAAGCTATTTTTACCTGCTTCCACACGCACAGATGGGCCAGAAACAATCCAAGCTCAGCACCCGTTATGCTTTGCCCAAAAGATTTGCTCCCTGCTTTTGCTGAGCTGCCAAAACAGTTGCAGGAGAGCAGGTAGAAGCGGGTAAGCGATGGCCAGGCAGCTGCCGGAGCGTGCTGCGAGCAGCGGCTGGGGATGACAATAGGGAGATGGAGAAGAGTTATTCATGTTTCCCCGAGAGCCCAGATCAGTTGAAACATCGTTTTCCTTGGGGACGGAGAGGAAAGAGCTCCCTTCAAACACACAGTCCCGTGAGACTCATTAAAGTCTCATCAATTACAGTGAGAGCAAACAATTCAGGAGAAAGCTCTGATGAGCCTTCCTCCGGCCGCAGTCATTAGCTGCTCTCCCGAGCTGCCTCTCCCACACCAGCACCAGCACAGAGGGAGCAGGGCAGCAAAACCAAGCCCATGGGGGGAAAGGTAGAAGTGTGACGGGTTAGAAGCCAGCAGGATGGGACCAGCCGTCTCCAGAGTATCCCTATGGCCATGCAGAACATCCCCTTGGAGAGGAGTGTGCAGGCTGGGCTGGAAAGAGGCTTGCAGGAGAGGTGATGGCTGCTTCTGCCTCAAGTCCAGGATTTTTTTAAGGAGCTCAGGGCAGTCAGTGTTGTCTCATGGAAGCTGGGTAAGAGGCACAAGGGGATGGAGCAGATCTCTAGGTCCCCACCCAGCACAGCAGGGTCACTGCACTGGGCCTGAGGGGTGCCAGCACCCCAAGGCTGCCCCATCCCTGCAGGAAGGGAGAGGGATGAGGAGATACTCTTTGCCTTTCTCTGCCTCACTTCCCTGCTCTGCAAGTGGGGTTGGGGACAGAAAAAGGGTTGTAAAACAAGGAAAAATTCTTGGAAGGGAAACAAAGGGCTTGGGATAGCTTTTTAAAATTACTTCAAAAGTTATTATTAATGAAAGCTCAGGGAAAGGGGCAGTTTTCCCAGTCCCAGCACGGAGGGAGGTTTGCTGCAGGTTTGCTGCACTCGCCCCCTTCCTGTGTGTGGGCATCTCCTTCCCTCACACGTGGGCTTGGCACCAGACACCAGCTTGCTGCTGTAACCTCCAGGATGCTGACATGGAGAATTGTAGAAAAGTGCTCTTTATGGCTGAAAGAAAAAAAAAAAAAAGAGGAAAAAAAGGACATTTTCCTGTAAACTTTCCTTGGCGCTCCAAGCTCTGTGATGTTCCCTGGTGGAGGCATTGGCAGCATCAGAACCACATTGCAGCACTCTGAGGAAAGCTGAATGACCTGCACTAAAATAAACTCATAAATATCCCTTTATGCAAACTATAACATCTTGGGGCACACGTTGCTCTGACCACTCCTGCTGGGAGCAGTGTGAGCCAGTTTTTGTTTAATGCCAAGTGCAGTGGTGTGACGTCCTGCCAGCCCAGGGCAGGATGGGTGTCCCTGGTGCCCGAGGGTGCTGCGGGTCTGCCCTGGGGCTGCTCCCCACCACTGCTGACCCTACACTGAATGCCCACCAAGAAACAGCACTGTCAGCATGGCCTTGACCCACAGGTCAAGAGCTCCCAGCTTCCCAGATCTCCTCCAGAGCCAGAGACCATATTGCAACCAGCACTTTGCTGGAGCAGCCCTGGGGCTGGAGCAGGGCCACGGCTGCCTTCTGCAGGACACAGCGCAGGTGTCTGCCCTGCTGCTGATTTTTAAGCCTCATTGCTAAGTAGCTCCTAACCTTTCCCTTCATCCTCTCCTTCCTGCCATGGCTGGGCGCCGAGGAGGATGAGCATAGGCGAGCAGGATGAGCGGCTCCCACCCAGGGGACTGGGCTAATGCCATTTACTCCAGCCTCTGCCAGCTCAATCTTGGCTGGGGAAAGGCAGGCACAGACCATTGGTGTGTCCTTGGGCTTGTGGGCCCGCAGGAGGAGGCACAGAAGCCTGAGGAAGGAGTTGAAGCTGATCCACTGAGCCTGAGCTGCAGGAAGGCCAGGATGCAGAAACCTCTGCCCAGAACGGGACTGGCTGAGGGTGCTCGGCTGTTCACCGTTAAATAATGCAGCCTGATTGATTGGGCTGAAAAGTGCTGTGCTGCGGGGTCAGCCTGCTGGGGTTACAGGTCCCTGCTTAGATTGATGATCCTCAAAGGTCTAATTCAGAAAGCAATCCCCTGGTAAAATTGATCCGTCGGGTAACAGAACTTTTGCACGGTGGCAAAGTGGCCTAGCAGTGAGAAAAATCAGTGACCCTGGCACAGGCAGGCAAGGTGAACACCTGCCTCTGCTTCCTCTTGACTTAATTTTTCTTGCTTACACCAATTAGGAAGTGAGGGTCTCCCCTGGGAAGAGCAGTGCTCTGTCACTCCTCGCTGGGGGACATCCATGAGCTCCCTCCCTGTCCTCGTTCCACTGGGCAGGAGGCAGCTGGGGCTGTCTCAGGAGCTCGTGCTGGGCTCCCAGCCCTCCCCAGCAGCAAGTGAGCAGTGTGTGTGTAGGAGCAGGCCCTTCTGGCTGCCTCCTGCACGCACCTGTGCCTCAGCAAGGCCAGGTCCCACTGCACAGAGGAGGATTTGTAGCTGGAGCCAAATTAATGGTGAATGAGACTCACTCTCCTGCACTGGGAGCCAAAAGCACCCCGAAACATCTGCTTGGCTCCTGCCAGGAGCAAGGATGTGTGCTACATGTGGAGGGGGTTGGTCGAGGCTGCCTGAGGCCTGTGGCCACCCAGGGCTGATGTCCCCACTGTGACTGGTCTGTGATTCACAGGGTCAAACACTGGAGCCAAGCACCACCCTCCACCTAATCCCAAACTTCAGGGAAGTCAAGGGGTGTGACAGTCCCTTCCATCCTTGTACCTACTCCCCTGGGGCTCCTAAACCCCCCTAGGCTGGATGCTGAGGCTGTGCCCTGGAGCTGCCCCATCCCCTCTCCCCATCAGAGGAGGAGGGAGGAGAGCTGCAGCTCCTGAAGCTGTTACTCTGTTCAGGCAGGGCCCAGAGCAGCAGTGGTGAGGCTTTGCCCTGCTTTAACCTGCTTTAACCCACTATCTTGCCTGCTTTGCTCTCGTCTGCTCGTCTTGAAGCGAGAGAAGGAGGCCACACCGTGTGGTCACTGAATAATTCACAGCCAGACTCTGCAGCACCCTGGGGCTGGGCAGCTCCTCTGCCAAAGGGCTGGGACAGTTCAGAGAGATCCTTCCTCACCAGAGCCAGAGGGGACCTGCAGCATCTGAAATTCAGCATCCCTCCTGGCTGCACGTACCAGCCAAAGCCACTTCCCTCCCCTGGCTGCTGGGACTCGTGGCTCACTCCCAGAGCAGCAGAGCTCGGAGGCTGTTAGTGCTCTCAGCCGTGACACGGCATCTCCAGCCCTCACTCACACACTGTTTCGAGTGGAGCGTGCTGAGCATGTCTGCCTCTGCTCCCTGGGCCACCTTCTCTTCTTTCCTCCCTTTTAGAGGCTGCAGAATTCCCTCCTCTGCTTGGTCAGACACAGGGCAGGGTTGTAAGATGGGGAGAGATTGTTCACACAGCTTATGCTTAGCCTCTGAGTGGGGTTTGCTAGAATTAAGGACAGGGAGGGGAGGGAGGGGGAAAAAAGAAATCATACGTGAGGTCAGCTTATCCAGCCATGTGTGAGGAGAGCACAGCAAAGTTGGCCTCAGAGGGTCAGGCAGGTGGCTAGGGAGCTTCTTTGGGGGCTCCAAGGGAGAGGGGGAGAGGCACCAGGAGCAGGGGGCATGCGCAGCACCAGCACCCAGACTCCCAGCTCCCAGCCTAATCCAGGCTGTTTATCCCAGTGCAGACAGAGCACAAGGAGCAGCAGGCCACATTTCCTCTGTCTTCTCTGCAGGCAGCTCATTCCCCCAGCGCTGCATCTCCTGGGCCTTGTAAAAGGAAGCGCTGCCCCATCAGACTTCTCCACCCCTGCACAGAAGGCACAGCATTACTGTTTTCTAATGCTTCTGCTTCTGAGAGTGTAAATTATTGCACAAAGCAGGGAAAACTGTCAGGCTGTGCTAGGGATCGGCTGTCTGGAATGAAATGAGATGTTTTGGTCCCCCAAGTCTCTGTCTGATGGCCTCAGCTCGGGCCCAGGAGTCACCAGAGCCACGTGTGAGTTATGGGCTCAGCCTCTGCGCTCTGCGCAAGTCACCTCGGAGCCTGAGCAACAGGAATTATTGTGCACAGAGATAATTATTCCCTGCACACTGCACTACAGCTCATTAAAAGTTTCTTAATGTTTGCAAATTGCTGAGTAGCGTTTTTAGTTGTTGCCTTCTCTGATGAGGCGGGGACTAACCGGTGGATTCTGGTGGTGGCTTGTTGTCTGTGTTATTTTGGTCACAGCAGGCTGGGGCTGTGCTGCACATAGGGAAAAGGGTTTGTGCTGGGCAGCCTCACACCACAGCAGAAAACACTCTTGGCTTTGGCACAGTGCACAGGGGGTAAGGGCTGAGTGCCACCAGGGTTAGCCTGGCTCCTCCATCCAAAGCCAGAGACTGCCTCTAAGTAAAAGCCTCCATGTGAGGTAATTACCCAGATTCCTGTAGCAGCCTGACATGTGAGTGACTCCTTCCTGCAACTGCAGATGTTGAGTGGCCATTAAACAGCCTGTGCTGCTCAGTCAGATAACGGGAGTGAAGTGTCTCATCCTGGACAAGAGGCTGCAGATCTGCCCAGGGTGAGGAGGTGGACATTGAACCCCAGCACCAGATACCTGGGGAAAACTGCTGAGTTCAGTGAGAAAAACCTGCAGGAGGAGCAGGGAAGGGGTGACCAGCCCAGCCTCAGCACATTTTCAACACTACGCTGGGAGCAAGGAGGAGCAGCAGGAACACCTGACAGCTCTTCCCTGTCTCCTTCCTCCAGATGTAAATGCAACCTCCACGCCAACCTGTGCACCTTCAAAGAGGGCAGCCTGCAGTGCGAGTGTGAGCACAACACCACGGGCCAGGACTGTGGCAAGTGCAAGAAGAACTTTCGTTCCAGGTCCTGGCGAGCAGGGTCCTACCTGCCTCTCCCCAATGGGTCCCCCAATGCATGTAAGTACCCTGCAGGGAACCAGCCCTGCCCTGGGCTGCACAGCACCCACAGAGGGAGTGGGTGCTCATCTTGTCCTTCTCCAGCTCGAATCTGTTCAGGATGCTCAGCTTTCCAAAGGGACCCTTGTCTTGGTACACAGAGAAATGAAAGAGGAGCTGGTGGATGTAGAGGTGATGTGTTGACTGCTGGCAGAGGAGTGATGAATCTAAATGATGGTCAAGAACAGGGATGATAACCTTAGGCCAAGATATAACCACAGCTTCGGGGCAAAGGCAATTATTGTCCTTTGACAAAGGCGTTATTCAGCACAGCAGAGCTCTGGCTGCTGAGCAGCCCACGGGCTCTGTACTGGCTCTGCTCAGCTGCAGGAGTGCTGGCTGCTCTCTGTATCCTGTCTGTGCTTGCCGCTGCTCCTGGGAAGCGCCGTGAGCCGTGGTCCCCGTGCGCAGCCCCAGCCTCCTGCAACTGCTGCTGGAACACGGCTCTGACAGAGGCAGCGCACAGGTGAGATGAAGGATGCGTTCCCACCATCCTCCGAGCAGGGAATTGGGGCAGGAGACATCACAGATGGGCCAGTTCCTCCTGGGTTCCTGTCCACTCCACATTAGCAAACTTGTTTAAATGTCAAGAAGCCACAGTAGCCACTCCAGCCTTTCAAGCAGCAGCTTTGAGCATTACCAAAGAGAATCTTTTTCTCTCCCTCCCCCCAAATTTTTTGAAAGATTTATGTGCTTTAAGATGATCAAAGCTGAAATCCAGGCTCCGAAGGCCGTGACGGGAATGTTTTGTGTGTGCCAGGGCTGGTAGACGAGCAGATTCTTTGAAAGGGAACGAGCTTGTCAGCTCCCACCAAGCGGCTGCATTGCTTCAAAGGAGCCTGGGAGAGTTTCTGGTGTTGACAGGCACAGACATGCTGTTCTCTCTCTTTCCCTCCCCTCCATTCCTTGTGTCTCTTCCTATTTCTCTTTCTCCTCTGCTCTTCCTTCTCCCATTCATCTCTCTTCCCATCTCTCTGTCTTCTTCCTCCTCCCCACCCTGACTCTCCACTGCTTCCTCCTCCCCACATCAACATCCTCTGCCCCAGAGGCAGCTCTCTGAAGCCCTCTGCTCTTGGTAGTCCTACCTCTTCCATCACTGTGCTTTATCTTCATGCAGAGCTGAGGCTTTCCGTGATTCACCCATGTGTTACAGCAGGAAGGCCCGTAAACATGTTTAAAAAAAGACTGGACATGGCACTAAGTGCCGTGGTTTAGTTGGTGAGGAGGTGTTAAGGTCATAGGTTGGAGTAGATGATCTTAAAGGTCTTTTCCAGCCTAGTTCATTCTGTGATTCTGTGATTCTTCAGTCCCCTGTTCAGACCCTGCAGCTTGTCCTTAGCCCAGTGCTCCTTTGTGTTTGTCCCTTGCTGGGCTTTTGTAGCAGCCCAAGGAAATGGTTAACAGAAAAACTCATCAGCAAGGACCACGCTGGTTTTCCTTCCCCAGGTGAAAGGCTTGAGATGCCAGGAGCCCAGGCAGCGTTGTCTGGCTGTTTCTGTGCTGTGACAAAAGCTAGCTTTTAAGCTGTAGCAGCAAACTGATGTGCCTGTGAGCAAGCCCCCACTAATTAGCTGCTCTTCAGTCCCATGTTGTGTGTCTGTGTGATCTTATGATGGTGTCCTGCTTCCAGTGACTGGGCTTCCTCTTGTTTTTTCCAGGTGCAGCTGCAGGCTCAGCCTTTGGCAGTAAGTAAAACCCTGACTGAAATGCTGGCATTTAACACCTCGGTGCATGATTCTTGTGGATGTCACTAGAAAAAAGAAAGTTATTTTCTATCCATTATCATTTCCCAGGCAATAAGTCTTCCATAATTGTGCCTCAATTTCTGTCCTGTCAAAGAATCTTATATTTTCTTCCCCTGACTTCAGCAGCCTCATTTTGCCTCTTCCTCTGGCATGGTTTCCCCCCATGAGGTTCGTTAGTATGGCAGCCGGAAAGGAAATAAAAAAAGACTCTTCAAAATCACCAGTGCTCGCTGTGAACTCCCCTCCTAAGCCCCCAGTACTGCAGGATTCTGCTGTGAGAAGGAGCTGGGTGTGAATTATTTGGTGCAGAACCCAGAGTGGGTCACCTTGGGCTATCAATAAAAAAAGCATTTAGAGTGTGTGTACATCTGCGTGTACACGTGTATGTAGATGAACAAATGTCTGTGAGGTGTCAGCAGCAAAAGCAGAGCTCAGCAGGGATTTCTGCTGCAAGATTGATGGCAGGAGAGGGCTCCTTATTTAAAAAAGCTGGAGGTAGTTTGATATCAAAGAGCCTGGAGTTTTGGGTAAGCAGACGCCTGGGTTTGAATGTTGTGGTGGAGTGCCCCTCCAGAAGAAACAAATCAGGGAGCTGGATGAATAATCAATTCTTTGGTTTGCAGGCAAGTGGGAAGAATTGGAGGAGGAATCATTTCAGGGAAATGCAAATGCAATTAAGAAAAATGCACCTAATAGAAAAGTGGAGGACAGGTTTTCTGGGTAAATGAACCGTATTTAGGTTTTTAGCAGTTGAGTGTTTGAAATTTTCAAATAAAAAGTAAAGGTCTCCCTTAGGTAATTTAGGATTTAAAAAAAATAAATGTTTCAACAGTTCAAAATATTCTTCATATTTCTTTACAAAACCATTTTGATAACTTTTTTTCCTCACATTTACAAAGCTTGGCATCCTCAGCACTACTTTTGTTTCCCTGGAAAACACTCCCCACCAAGATTTTCTGCAGGGCAGAAGCCAGGAGGGTGCTGGGAGCAATGTGCAGGAGGTGGACAGGAGGGATTTATGTCCAAGGCCAGTTAAGGAGAGATTATTTAGCCCACATAGGAGACTAGAAGTGACCTAAATTAAGTATTTAAACTAGCTCAGGGCTATTATGAAATTTAGCACGATAATCTGCATGAAGCAGTGGGACAAACAAGGACAGGAGGGCAGCAGGTGTAATTAAATTAAGCACTGGGAATTTGTGTCTCAGTGTTATTTTAGTCTGGGATGTTGTCGGGAGCAGTGGGGTGCTCCGCTGACCCCCGGCCATCCTGAAATTTGAAGGGTGTCACTGAAAAAAACCACGTTCCAATGGTCCTAGGTGGCTTTGATGGTGCCAGGTGGTTTGGTGAGGGGTGGCAGCAGGGAATGGAGCTGGGCAAGGAGCACAGCTGGGCAAGGAGCACAGCTGGGCACCAGGCAGTGGGAGCACAGCTTGGCCTGGGGGCTCCTTGACATCTCCGCCTGCTCCTCACCCCGTCCCTGCCCAGATGTGTCTTCATCTCCCCTTTTCAGCTAAATTGGCAATTAGTTTATGATTGAGCTGTAAGCATTTAAGCCAATATCTGCACCAACAGAGTAAGCTGATACAGCCCCAGCCTGCAGCCCCTGCTCACACACACACACACACACGTGTCCCCGCTGTGCACAGCGTCATCGAGCCGCTGACGCCTTAATCCTGCCAGTGCCCCACTTGTGACTGTGCTGGGAAATCGGTCACCAGTTCAGCTCAGCAGTAGCAGCCTCATGGGTGCCTCAGTAGCATGGAAACCCACCATTCCCCCCAGTAAGTGCCTCCCAACTCTTCTCTTTGCTTGTCAGCGTACGAGCGACCGCAGCGCGTAAACACCGCAAAAACCACCACCGCAAAAACCACCACCGCAAAAACCACCACCATCACCTCAACCACCACCACAACCACCACAACCATCAGCAGCACCCCCATACCAGCCACCACCACCCAGCCAGGTGGGTGCCATGCTCCCTGCTCTGCTCAGAAGCCAGGACTCTGCTCCCAGGCTCCTCTTTCTCTGTTGTGAACATGTGTCTGTAGCCATGGATCTCTGCTCTGTAGGATGATAAAGGGACATGGATAAAAATCACCCGGACTTGGTTCACTTCCCCCAGCCACCAGGCAGCCCTGGTTTGCTGTTGTCTCTGGCACAGCTGCCAGAGATGTTCTCACAGCTCCATGACAAGGCAGGGCAGGAAAGCAATGAAGACTTTTCTGATCCATAATAAATTTAAGCCACATATTTCTCTGGAAGAAGAGGGGAATTATACCCCATCCCGCTCTATCTCTGACCTCCTGCCACTTGATACTAGACTCAGAGCAGCCTACAGATTTTGCTCTGTCCTTGCTGGTTGTCCCAATCCTGCACCAAATCCCTGTGTCCAAACTCATGGATGTACTGCAGCTGCAGTTTTCCTAGGGCAGAATTCCAGCATTCCCCAGGTGGCCGCTGTCCTGGCAGCCTGGGAGCACGCAGGGCAGGAGCTCACACACACGCCAGAAACATCCTTTCCTAATTTCTGAAATCTCTCGGTGCAGGAAAACTTTTGTCCTTTTTCTGGGGGTTCCTCCTTCCCTCCCCCCATGAACAAAGAGACAGCATTTTTCTTGTCTTTTGGAAATGAGCAGATAAAACTTAACAGCAGGACATTTTTTTAAGCTGCTCATGGGGGAATTAGACACGCATTCCTCCCTTTGCCATGCTTTCAGGGCCTGATATTTCCCAGGAGGACGTTTTACACCCACAGCATGTTAGTAACAGTCTGTCTGGGGGAGCTGCCAGAAGCCAGTCAAAGGGATGAGGAAACTTGATTGCATGTTTATGCAAATATAGATATATTCATGGAAGTACCCTGCTTGAGGAGTTAATCAGGGAGCCAAGGGTTTAAGTCCAACTTCCATGGAGCTGGAGTGACCCTGGAAAAAGATTGCAAGGCTCAGCTCTGTTAGGAAGAGCTCCTTGTACCTGTGCAGGAGGAGGTTCATCCTCCCCCAGCCTGGAGCTCACCCCATCCCCACAGCCCCAGCAGGGCCAGGTGATCACATCTACATCCACACAATGCACTTGGGGTCATCTGATTTTTATCCATGCTCACCTGTAGAGACATTTTGGGGCTATTTTTTTGCTGTGTTCGTGTGGGTAGCTGCTTGATGTGTCTCTTGTATGATTTGCAGTGCTCTACCTTTGTGGCACCTCTGGCACAGGCAGGACAGTGTCTCTGGGGGGTTGGGGTAACCTCTCTTGCCAGGCTGCTCTGAGGGACCTGAGAGACATCACAGGGTTTATTCCTCTCCAAAACCTGCTTCCTGGGCAGAGAAAATGTTTTCCTAATGCTTTCATCAACTGATGGCAAGGGACAAAATTAATAAATTGCAGCCCAGCTGCCAGGTTTTTGGCTTGATACAGCCAGGCCTGAGCTCCTCACTCCTCACCCCCATCCAGATCCCCATCTGAGCCAGGTCCCAGCCCAGGATGGTGTTCCTGGGAGTGGTGACACTCCCTGGAGGCGCTGCTCCACAGAAGAGGGAAGCCAGGGCCCCCAGCAGCTCAAGAACCTGCTCTTACCTGGGCAGAACGAGGAGTTTGATGCCAAAGGTCCACTGTGTGCCCTTGACCAGCAATAGAGAATCAAGGCATAGATGAATTCTGATCTGCTTTTGGCCTGAGATGTTCCTCCTTCTCCTCCTCCATGAAAAACAGAAAGCGTTTCTTTAAAACCATGGCATTCCCAAGGGCCTGCAGATCTAATTCATCTGGGCCCCAAGAGAGACACTGTGAAAGAGGAGACCCTTGGAACCCCTGGTAGGACCCATTTGCAGGAGGTGACCCCCAAGCAGAGTCAGAATCCCAAAGTGAGATACTCTGTTGTAACCCCCCTTTTTAATTTTAGAAGCATTAAAATCCCTCCTTACTTTAAAGCCATACATTTAATCCAGTCCTGCCAGAGCCCTGCCTCATCCCTGCTCTGTTTCACCTTCTAATTGACACACTGTCTTCTGCCCTCTGGATTTCTGCTTCCCACCATAAGCAAGCATCATCAGACCAGCCTCTGAGTTTGCTGCCTCTGTGCCCGTGACAGAAACACAGAAAAAATCAGGTATTTAAAGCCAGCCCGACGTGTTTTTCCCTTCTCCTCGGTGCCTCCGCACACCAGTGGGTAGCAGCACAGCAGAAGCAGCGTGGCACGTAGGCTAGAGGAGTAGATTAGATTTGGGTTGTCTCTGGGTTGCATGGAGCTGCTAGACATCTGCTTCCTTTGGCTGCTCGTGGTGTTTTCGTGGTCAAGGTGGAGCTGTGGTCGTGCTCATAGGATGCTTTCTGTGCCCGGTCGTGCGGCGAGAGGGGAGAGAGGGATGAGCTCATGGGCAAGGGCTGTGGTCTGAAGGCAGGGGAAGCTGCCAAAGTGGGTAGAAGGAAGAGAAATCACAGAGTTACCCTTAGAGGATGAATTAAGTGCTATTCTCCTTTGCCTTCTGCAGTTCTCTTATTTCAAAGCCTTCCTTGAAGCCTGTCAGCTTCTTCCCTGCCATTTGTTACATTTTTTCCCATGCTCAAAATAAGCAAAAAAAACCCCACCAAAACCCCCAAACTTTTCCTTTTTAATTTCTTTTTCTTGCTTCAATTTTCCTCCCTCTGGCTCATGGCAGTCTCAGCAGTGCCAGTTCACCTCTGGGAAAAGCAGGACCAGCTTGAGCCCTGCTGGGTGGTCACAAACTCCAGCAGAAAATGGGCACCAACAGCCTGGCTTTGGGGAGGTCCTGCAGGAAAGGGATCCCATGTTTTATGTTTTGAGAAGGACTTTTCCAGGTTTCTCCCCCAGTGCTGTTTGCCCCCATGGTTTTTGCTATGAAATGTAACCTCTTGGCTCAATTTATTCCCCTTCCTCAGAAGCCCAGCAAGAACAGCAATTTCCATCAGAGACACCCATC